ATGTGCTTATGATCTTACTTCACTTTTCCTTCACTTTATATACCTGCAAAGTAATAAATGCACATACTGGTCACAAAGTTAACTTTTTCATCACTAAGATAATTGTAAATGGAAGATGATATAGTCCAGTGATAACCTTTTTGTTACACAGTGCCAAAAACTGTGCGCATGGGCTATCACACGCACATGCGTGCCCACCCACCTGCTTATGCACAAGTGACCCCCTACCTACGCATGCACAAGTGATCCTCCCTCTACCGCACATGTGTGAGTAACCCCGGGGGGGGGGGGATTTTCACCTTTCCCAGGCTCTGGAGGCTTTTCTGAATCCTGGGGAGGGCAAAAACAACCTCCCCTGGCCTCCAGGGGGCGGGGAAGCCATTTTTCATCCTTCCTAGGCTTCAGGAAAGCCTCCAGTGCCTGGGGAGAGTGAAAAACAGGCCCAACGGGCCAACCGGAAGTTTGTTCCCGAACTTCCGGTTGGGCCGTTGGGCCTATTTTTCAACCTCTATATTCTCCGGAGGCTTTTCTGAAGCCTGAAAGGGGCGAAAACAGCCTCCCTTGGCCCTCCGGAAGGTTGAAAATCAGCTGGCCTGCCCACGCATGCGCGCCGGAGCTGACAACTGCCACAGGCTGCCATGCCAGCAAATATGGCTCCGTGTGCCACCTGTGCACACATGCCATAGGTTCACCATCACAGATATAGTCCATCCCCTTTGAAGGGCACGCATGTAGAAAATGCTGAAGTCTATTATAAAATATGTAGATTTACAAAATATGTGCCCCTGTGTGTGTCTGTGTACCTATTTATCTAGTCACTTACATAATGCCAGTGTAGACTCTTGTCATACAATGAACCAACAATCAGAGACATGCTTGCTTGTAGTACTGCTGACAAAATGATATTGAATGAATGCCTCTAGCAATCTCTGTGAAGATTTCTTTTTATGGCTCATAGAGGAAAAAGGCACACCAAGTCATTAAATACTTACAATTTGAATTCAAGAAGACTTAACAGGAGTACATTTGGAAAATCAGAAAAGGGGAGAGGGCAGTGTGACTTAAGAGTTTAGAAAGAATTGAAGGAAGTACCACCTTACTTTTGGAAGAGGGCTCGAAAAGCCGTAAAGTATGGAATTCCAATG